TGATATACACATTCTCTTTGACACAAATTCTCTTCGATACAAATTTTTGAAATAATGGGAATTCAAGGTTTTGCAAAATGGATAAGGTTCACTATATCAATTGAAAGTTTATTTGTTATCTTTTGAAAAAGTATGAAACTTTAAAAAAGTAATCTACTTATTTTATTAGCGAGTACGATTTTGTATCACCACCTATCAAAAAAGAATCGTATGTAAATTTAATCATATTTCTGTATTTTGAAATTTAATTATTTAATATGGAGATATTTATATTTATAACTTATTCATTATTTAAAGTTGGGCTAAAATTCCTATAGATAATTTTTATATCGATATGAATGAAATTATTCATGAAAACCTGAATAAAAATAAGGAAGACGAAATTTTTGAAGCTATATGTGCATATGTAGACGAATTAATTTTAATGGTTAAACCAAAAGAATTAATTTTTATTGCAGTAGATGGTATTTATTTTAATTGTAATTTTCTTTTTAGATTGATATCAAACAATTATGAAATTACATTTATTTATAAAATAGGTGTTGCTCCTAGAGCCAAAATGAATGAACAACGTAATAGACGATTTAAAAGTACTCTTAAAGTATCATACAGTAAATTTGACAGCAACTCAGTCACTCCAGGTATACAAGTATATATAATTTAAAGAAATAAGATTTGATTATCTTAAATTATTAATTATTAGGAACGAGGTTTATGGAGGATTTTTCTAAATATATTAAAGAATTTATTTTTAATAAAATTGAAAATAATGATAATTGGAGAAAAATAAAAATTATATACTCTGGCCATGACGTACCAGGTGAAGGAGAGCATAAAATCATGGAAGATATCCGTCATTCTAATTCAACATGTGGCTGCATATATGGGAGAGATTCAGATTTAATTTTGTTAGGGCTACTGCATTATAAAAAAAATCTTAGGATTCTTAGTAGTGAAGACTTTTCTTTGTCTAAAGCTAAGTAAGTTTAGTTTTTAACATAATGGTTTTGTACTGATCAATACAAATTAATATAATTGCTTACTATATAATTTTTTAGAGACAGTCCTAAATCAAGAGAATTTGTG